TGTACTTGTTCTTTGTGTTATACAATATCCATAGACTGAGATGCCATTGTGTTTGTCTCTTTTCAGCTTCATGTTGCAGGAAAAGAAGAATGGATTAACTGTAAAATGTCAGTCTACTGAAGCAAACTGTTACCGTGACTCCTGCAAAGTCTCAGACAAAGCAGCAGGGAAGACATGCCAAAGGAAAGTACAAATGGTGCAGAATAAAGCTAGGCCCGAAGAGACGACCGGATGGACTGAAATCAGATGATTTGATTGGGGCTGAAATGCTGTGACAGTTTTTTGTTTGTTTGTTTGTTTGTTGTGGGGTAGGAGGTGAACTGCTGTGACTCAGTGCTTTGCAGACATTGGATGACATCGGATGAGCATCCCTGTGTCATCTACATATTGTTTACAAGAGACCCTGTTCTTGAATAAGACAAATTCAAGCTTTAAGCGCATTCCAGAGAATCTATGGACACAGTGTACAATATGTGGCCTGTGGCTTCCACAATGTATACATAAACTAATTATGAACAATATGTTATCTGGTAAATTATATATTTATGATACACTGAATCTGTAGCAATTTACAAAAGTTTTCTATAAGTTCCGACCTGACTATGTTCACTGTAGAAACATTTTACTCTCATAAAGCTCTCAGTGTAATACACAAACCAGTGAGTTGTGCAGTGAGATATTCAACTCTTTGTCTGTCGTTCTAGCATTAATGTTCCTGTTTTGAGCCTTTACGTTCGCACAATGTTACTGAAATTCTCTTCTCTATGTCAGATCATACCATGGCTATGAAAATGGCTGACAACTTAAATATTCTTCTGGTCATTGAACCATCACTGCATGTTATTATACAAGGTACAGTATTACAAACTGCGGGTAAATATTACAAACAAGCCAACTGTGTGCTATTTTGCAAACAGAATCTATTTTTGTTCTTTAGTCAGTGGAAATGTAAGCTGAGAGGCAGCACAAATAAAGAACAATAATAGACCTGGAGGAAACTTTCTACAGTGTCCATCATTTTCTTGAGCCCCCAAAAAGTTTTTTTTGATCCCGGACCAAGCATCACTTCACAAAGCCAGTCTGGATCCCCGTCACAACATCAAAGATGCCTGTCAACAGAGAGTGCTTCCAATGCCA